TTCCTCCTCCCAGCGCCGGTCTGGCATTGCAGGGTTTCCCCCGTTTACACCAGGGCCGGGCTGGGCGGTGCAGGGTGCTGTGCTCGGTGCCGAGGGTTCGTGCATGCCAGCAGCCGCCCACAGCTGATGGCAAAGAATTCCCGGTGCTAAATGTGATTTAAGGGTTCTGTGGGCCGCGGGCGCTGCATCTGCCCGGCTGTTCGTGTGCCTCCTTCCCTCCGCCTGCATCCTTCGTCCCTTTCTGTCCCATCTCTTGTCTGAAGCTGCAGGCTGCGTGCCCTGCCATGCCCTGCTTCCCGCTCCCTACGGACGCAGTTAATCCTGGCGAGGAGCGCTGTGTCCCGTCCGTACATGCGGACTGCACGGAGACCCCTCTGCCTGCGGCATCAGGCAGGCTGGGAGCTGGGATTTGCGCCCGAATCCAGATTTTCCGGTGTCCTCCTGCGAATCAAGATCAGTAGCGTTGTGAACCTGGATGCTCAGGTTGCTTCTTGAAATTCTCATTTGTCAGCTCAATCGGGTATTAACTACACTGTGAACAGAAACTGCCCAAGTTGTGCATAGGCCTGAATATATTTAAAATAGGCGTGTGAGCATAAGTCACTTCATTACGGCTGGGCTGAAGTTTGGGAACTTGAAAAGACACATCCAGGTTAGGTTGATCAAGTGTTTTTTAAGGGGCCATGCTGCAAGCAGAAAGCCAATTAAGCTGCAGTGGGTCAGAGCCAATTTTAAGCTAGTGTGGGGCACCAGGTTGGTAATGAGGTGTGCTAGTGCATAAATGACAGCCCTACATTAAGATGGCTAAAATAGGCACAGCTTTGTTATTTGAATACAACACTTTGAGATGACTTAGGCTTTTTTTTTTTTTTTTTTTTTTTTTTTTGTCTGTTCCTTTAGCAGTAGTTTGCAGTCTCTCCATTGTTGAAGTATGTGCAGAATGTGAGCTACCTTCTCGCTTTTCTTCTAGGTTGTTAATGTTTTTCTTCTGTACTAGGTGAATTTGAGTGCAGATAGAGGAGGAGAGGTTGTGGTATTCTTCTAGTTTGTGCTTACAAGAAAGCTCAGCTTTATGGAGTTAACCCGTTTGTGATGTTGTTTTCCATATGTTGCTCAGAATCCACTCGTGTAATACCCTCTGAGCTCTGCCAGGCTGGTAGGGTTTGATTTACTCACCATTTGGGGAGCAGGGAAGGTCCTCAAGGTATCCTAAAGGTCTGTTAGCTTCCTTGGTAAGATGTGGCAAAAAAGAAGGGTGGGGGGAAAGCATATGGCATCTTTAAGATACTATATTCTTTATGGAAATTGTAAAAATTGGTTACCATGATGCACACTACAAACCTGGTAACGTGTTTGCTGTTGTTTAGCATATGTCTGCATCTTGATCTTGTGCGATTAAGGAGAGAGAAAATGGTGGGGGAAAGGGAAGCAAACAAATATACATGTGCTGAATAGATGGCATGGTGGAAATTCACATAATAACTTGTTTAATGTAAAATTGTGTCCATACTTTCGGCAAGTGGTATGGATTGGGGTGATCTTTCCCATTTAATTTGTGGGAATTGAATTATTATAAGTTATCAGTGCTATTTAATTATTGTTAGTTTTTGTTAACATCCTGGTTTTTATCTTCTAGCTGAAAGTCATTGCTGTTGATGAACAGCTGAGAGTCATTTATGAGGATAATGTTCATTTTGACAAAGACCTTCCGGAATTTAAGTAAGGCTTTTAATATTTTATTTCGATAATATAATTTAGAACTTTGGAGATCAGGGTGGGGCAGCTGTTGCCCTGTTTGGTCTCATTGATAGGTGTGAAGGCATGGAAAAAGGTCATGCCATGTTCATGTTTCATACTTGGCAAAGGAAGTAGTTCTCTTGCCTTCCTTGGTATGTAAGTATGGCAAGAACTCCCAACAGGAAATAAATTTTAAAAATCTACTGCAAAGTGTTATCTATAAATAAACCTTTTTTTTTTTTTTTCTTTTGGGACTTCAGACTTGAGGACATGACTTTCTTTTTGGGGCACAGAAGTAAGCACTGCCTTTGTATCAGGGTGGAATGCTATGGTGACAGCGAGTGAAATGCGTGAGGGGAAATTCTAAAAGGCATTTGAAGACAAATTCAGTGGTTCCAAATCTCACAATAAGACATAGGATGACAGTATTTGTTTACTTCAGTTGATTTACGAATGTCATCCTTTGTGGTCGCAAGTTTCAGTGAAGTACATTTATTTACCTTATGGTTTAACAGCGGAAATTGTATTTAGTCTTCTAGGTTCAAGCTACTAATGGTGACAGTTGGGAAACTTAGAAATAACTATGAATTACATGGAGCCAGTGAGCAGGGTCAGCACTGAAGTCTATTACGGATCTTGCTTCAGGATCAGAGCCTTTCCTTGCAAATTATTTGCTCTGCAATTGGGTCAAACATCTCTTACGTCACCTGCTGGGAGCTGGCTTTTACTTTTTCAGTTTTCAAACACTGGTCATATCCTTGCTCTTAACACAAAAGCGTGGCAAACTCTCTTTGTTTACTAATAAACTTGAGGAACTTTGCTTGACGGGGAAAAAAATGCTGAATTTACCAAGAGAAAATACTGTTTTTCTGTAGGACTCAAGGCGGAGTCTACATGCACAATGACAGACTGACGGTCACTTCTCCTGTGCTAATGTGGGTCAAGGTATGAACAAGCTTTATAGAGTTCAACTTCTTCCTCGCTGTTACTGAAATGGAGATGTATTCCAAGCAATAGTGAAACTCATCGTTCAGATCGACATAGTCCTTTTGCTTCTGTTCTGTTTCTTTTATTCTATGTCTTTGGTATGCAGGTGTTAATGTTATCAACAAACATAGTGGAAGTTGTTAATGTTTTGAGGTTTGTTTTGTTCGTTTCTTCACTCTCTACTATTATAGCATTGTATGTGTCATAAATCCTTTCCTGACTTTCCCTCATTTGAAAAAAAAGCTATTCTTTTTTCTTTGTCTTTTTGTTTCATATGCAAAAGGGGCAGCTGATGCTTTGCCTAGCTTAAATTTGTGTTTTTGAAGCATCCAGGTTACTTATGCTGGTTTTTTAGAATAAGCTTTACCAACCAATTGATGTCTCAACTGGTAAGTGGTTAAAGAGCAATTTATTCAGTGATTCCCAGTCACTTTGACTGGTGTTTATTTTGAAATACAACGTTCTTTTCTATTGTAAAAGAAGGCCTTCCTTGCTTCTGTGCAGGTTCTGTAACTTATTCTCACATGGTAGTATGTAAATTTGTCTTATTAATGTGATTTGAATAGTTCAGATATTTGAAAGGTTACAGAATCCCCAGCTGGTGATCCACGGTAGTTGACAAAGGTTTGGTAAATTTGCTTGCAGTTGGTCTTTTGAACCATAATGAACAGGAACAGTTGTAATAATTAAATTAATAATATTATAAAATAGGTATGTGATGTTTTTTGGGAAATTTTGAAGTCTTTTTGTCTTGTCCATTTGTCAAAATAGTCTGGGAAATGCTGATCTGAATGACGCTATATAAAGATAGGTTAGTTTTTGGTTTTTAACTTCAGGAAAATGTGGCAAGAACAAAATTCACCTAGGTGCTCAAAGTGCTGAATTTCACTTGAATTAGCCTTATATTAAAGAGACTGAGTTTTCAGCTGGGGGCAGTGGTGATATTGCGGATACCTACCATCTTGTAGGGTGGGGTGCAGCGTGCACCCCATTAAGATTTCATCAAGTCCAAAAGCAAGAACAGAAAAAGATAATCCTTCTTTGTGTCTGGCAGTCTTTAATTCATTAAAAAGTGCCTTTATAATGAATTTGAATTCTTTAGCTCTTGCCTCTTATTTAGGTTTCAAAGAATGGATCTTTGTGATTCAGGTTGTTTAAAAATCCTTTTTTTCTCTGTGTGATTCAACTTTTCTTTTATGGACTCTTTCTTAGTAAATTAATGCATGCAGCTTCTTGAGAAGTCCATAGTCATTAGCTAATTTTTCATTATCTGCCACTGAACTCTTCTCAGTGATGACCTGAATTTACTGTTTAATTCCAGAGATTGTGAGTATGCATAATTTGATAGCTCATTACAGTCATTCTTGATTCTCTTTGTTCTTGCAGGCTCTGGATATGATTTTGGAAAAGATGAAGTCTTCGGGCTTTAACTTCTCTCAAGTCAGAGCTTTGTCTGGTGCTGGCCAGGTTAGTTTATAAAGAAAAAAATCAGTCTTACTATATTTCTTCAACAGAGTATAAGGTATAGTGATAAATTGCACTTAAATAATTGTATTGCAGAAGACCGTAATGACATCAGGTAAGACCAAAGCTTCTGTATAAGCGTGCATTAAAAGACACATTCCTCAGGGGAACTTAAAACCTGAAGCACACAAAGCAGTCACTAGCAGGTAGTGGGGGTGGATGATGAGCTTTACAGTGGAGCTGTTTAGATCAGTGTAGTGCATAACTAGTTGGTTTCCTGTTCTTTAAATTCTTTGTGCATACAGGTTCTGAAATGACTGGGGTAATTTTGAATTTCAGCATATCCAGGTGTTTGTGGAAAGAAAAATAGTAGAAAAATAGTGAGGAGTGCTGTTTGCTAAAGTCATAGTAACATCCTGTTGAGCACTGTTTTTGTTGGCTACGATAGAGATCTGCCTAGGAACAAGAAAACCCAAATGATGATAGACTTTGATGCAGAAACAACAAAGATGCTACCATGATTTAGCTTGTAGTGCATAATGCCTTTTTTTCTGAGATTTATAAAACCCGTCCTGGCATTTAGTCAGTTAGCCAGTCTCCTAGTACTCTGGTGAAACAAGGAAGTCTTTTATAACCTTCAGAGATGATATTTGGGGTGAGGACAGCACCAAAGCAATAGCTAATTCTGACACATAAGGTTTAGGTTACTCGTCCCAGATATATCTGGGACTAATTAATCAAAACTCTTGCTTTGATCTCCATGTTTCATTGATTTCAGTTGAAAGTCTGAGCAAATTGTCTGAAAATCATAGCCAGTATCAAAGCTCTGATATGAATTCTTCAGTGCAACAGAAGTTTGGGACTGCCAAGTAACCCCAGTTTACTCAAGTGAAAAAAGGAAGTGCCTTTCCAGATTGCCCGTATTCCCTTTATTTTAACCATCCTCCAACAAGTTGGGGGTATCAACTTGGTGCTATATTCAGGTTCTTTCCGGTAGAACAGATTTCATTTAGATGCCCCCTTCCAACCCACATTGTCTCTCTCCCTTTCCTTTGAAGAACCTTGTCTTTATGCTGCAGATCACTGTGGAGGTGCACTGATGTGTCCCAAAGAAGGGACAAACTTGTCTCCATTGTCTGAAGGAACGGCAGAGAGATGTGAAACACAATCTGGATGACACTGTGGTCAAGTACTCTGTGCCCATGGGGTTCTGTGTGCACTTGGTGTCATCAGAACTATTAGTGGGTTGCTGGATGGTGCTTTGCAGTTTGCCTAGGGTGTCCTGCAGGTGCATAACTAGAGGTGCCTGGCTTGAGGAAGCTGCCTGAGAGATGGAGCTTAAATAACCTGCTCAGCATTATGCAGTCTGGTAGTGGTGACTGGGGCAGGAAAGTAACTGGAGAATCTGGGGGCTGTGCTGAAAGAGCACAGAGCTGACAGTCTTGACTGTGGAGCCCTGGCTCCAGCTCAGAGCCCTCAGAGAAGTATCTAATGCCATTAGCAGTATAATAATAGCTCCCAGTAGAAGTTGCAATAGTTCAAAATCATCATTGTCTCTTGACTCCTACATTGTCCGGTTTAGTGTATGCTTTGCTCAATCGTAGAGAGTCTTTTAATGAGGCACTTGATTTGAAAAGGTGCATTTTTTGGTCCTGGCTTGGAGAGAGTTCTCTGTCCCTTAGAGTTTGAAATTCAGATCAGGATACAGACTTCACAGCTTGGGAGGGCATCTCCAGCTTCTGTTTCTGTACTTTCTACAGCAACATGGGAGTGTGTACTGGAAAAAAGGAAGCATCCGAACTTTAAAGAGTGCATCATCTGAGCTGCCTTTACATCAGTCACTAAAGGTAATGTGCATAAAAAGAGCTCTGAAGGGAAAGCTGCACTGTCCTTTTTCTGAGCACATCGCTTTTCTCTCCTTGCAAACCTTTTCTATAGTTTGGATGAATTGCATGCCCCTGCAGCATAAAGTGAAATGCACTGGTTATTCCTTGAGCTCCAGGGCTTTTGACAATTCCTTTTCTCCTCAGTGACAGTATATACTGCTTTAAAAGCTTACAGGTGCTAGTGGGTATCCCAGAATCTTTTGGTATCAGAGTAACAGCCTGTTTGTTCTTTTAGGAAACACAGTATTCTGTAAACAACCTGCAAATGTTTTACATTTTAAAAATATATTTGTATTAACAAAAAATTGTGGTGAAAAATGCTATTGTACCTGAATTTCCTTGCAGTGCTTGCGATTTCATTAGGTAATACTAAAAAAAAACCTTAAACCCAACCAGTTTACACTTAAGTGGGAAAGGATGGAAGTGTAATATGCAGTGGATACAAACTCCTAACAAGTACATTGTTGAACCTCAACATTTTGTGTATGTGAATTTGTGTAGTTGGCAAGTTTTGAACATAGGCTTGATAAACTTTTATAAAGAAAAGTAGAGAGGAATCAACTTTCCCCTTGAAGACCTTTACCTTCCTTACTTCAAGATCAGAAAGGACAGTTGTGTTTTCAAAGGGAGACATTTGAGTAACTGATCTGTTAATTAATTTTGGAAATACCTCATCTGTGCAAGACTCACAGAATTAAAATGCTCTCTGGTGGTGTACTAAGCGTCAGTTGCATTTCCAAATAGTTAAGCGAGTCATTAAAGAGAAATCTGTTAGTAGAGCTGTGAAAAGATGATCTGATTGTTTAGAGAGGAGTTCTGGGGCTAAACCTGTGTAAAAGGGCCTGGGGCTTTGGCTACCAAAGGAGTGTACTGAGACATGGTGCTGCAGGGTATGTCAGGTAACAGCAGCAAAAGCTGGTTGCTTCCCTCTGGTGCGAAGTTTGGGTTAAACGTTTCACCACTGACCAACATGCTGCCCAATAGCCACTTCCCTGTAATTATCGAGAGGAGAGCGGAAGGCACGTCAGAGAACCGAGCTGTGAGCTGAGACGTACGTCTGCTGTATTGCTGTTACTCTAGCAGGGACTTCTTGGAGATCAGACTTGCTAATAAAGGATATTGTTCGTTGCAGGCTTGTTTTTCTGTCAGTAACAGCCCCGTCTGGATGGACTCCAGCACAGCTTCCCAGTGCAGCGCTCTGGAGAAAGCCGTGGGGGGAGCCCAGCACCTGGCGAGTATCACTGGTTCTCGAGCCTATGAGGTGAGGGGCGGATGGGAAGAAAGTCCTCAGCGGAGTCTTGTGGTAGAAACAATTCTGCGATTACGGTGGTACTGCAGCAGATAACGATCAGCCCTTAACTGTGAAAGGGTTTTTGAAGAAACTCCCAACAGTACTGTACTTTGCAGGAATCTTGCAAAGGAAGAGTGGAAATTTTAAAGTGAAATTAGGCAAACATTGGAAATCTTGCTGCAGGAAGGAGCTGGGGTGACCTGTTGCATTTGGCCACTGGTTCCAAAATCCAGCGTTTGGTGCCCATGCCTACAGTCTCAGGGCCTGGTTCTCCCCGGGAACTCCTGTGCAGCCACGTTTCCGTTGGGATGGCAGTCCAGTTTGTGTTACAGGTTTACTTGGAGTTATGACACCCTTGTTTGTTGATCACTTCTGCCATTAAAAGATTGGCCTTTTAGTGTTCCCTGAAGGCTGACAAGCAGCTGTTGACCTAAGAGAAGTGTTTCAGAAGTTTGGGACACTATCAGAGAGTACTCTGTCACTTGTCTGCTCTTCCTGACGCTTCCTCTTGCAACTGTGGCAGCGAGTTATGGAGTGGGAGCAGGGCTGCCTTCCAGGCATCTCGGCACCTGGCTGCTCTTGCCCTTGGTTTCTAACCTCCCAAATTGCTCATTCTGTTTTTAATTGTCATGCAAGATTTATGGCCAGTGTTGGAATCAGACTTTGCATACCACTAACACTTTGTTTTTAACTTGCTAAAGGTTAAGGTATCAGTGTTAGAAGTATTTTGTTATTTGGTATAATAATGGATGAAAAATAATTATTCTTACAACTCTTATTAGCCTGGGCTGGAGTTGCTTCTTTGAGTAGGAATCTTCCTGCTTTGCTCCCAATTCACCTGCCTCATGGAGAGGCACACAGGTTGGGTAGCTTGAACCTTTTCAAGGATTTGAAGGCGGCGTTTGAATTGTTCTTGTTCTTGTGCACAGAGTAAGTGTGATTCGTTCCATTGAACTGTCACTTCTGAAGTGTAAATTATGGAGAGTAATGCTTTTTTTTTTTTTTTTTTCCAAAAGGTGAGCAAAATTCTCATAATGTGCCTATGTGTTATAGCCTGTTTAGTGCAGATGGCCTGCTGTGCACTGACTTTCATCATGCGTCAGGCAAATTAAATATCCAAAGTGCAATGTACTGAACTCATTACACAGAGTTAATGATTATTGACTCCATTTAGGGTTTGTGTTTCTAAGCATTTGCATTTCTTTCTCAGCGTTTTACAGGAAACCAGATAGCAAAGATTTACAGCCAGAATCCTGAGGTCTACATGCAAACTGAGGTTGGCTCCGCTTCAATACACTTATTGGAAAACACAGTTGAAAATCTTTTAAAATTAATTCTGTGGGGATGTTTTTACAGACTTTTTTACTAAAGAGCATTTTGATTCTTGTGTTTGATTTTAAGATTAAAATTGAACCTTCCATTATTTTATTTTATTTTTTGATTTATTAAATTATTAGTCCTTAGCTGGGTAAAAGTTGGGCGTCTGTTCTTTCTTGAGTGTTATATTTACCACAGCAGGCTCCATTGAATCTTACCTTTGTGGAAAAAGTTTTAAAAAACAGACTTGCATTTTGGTGGTAATAAATTGTATTTACAGCTGTTTGAACACGAGTGGGTAATTAAGCAGACAGTTGAAGGTTTCGTACTTAGAACTGGCCATTTGCACGCAGAAATGTGATCGCTTTGCCATGCGAAGCCAGCATCCGTGCGGTTGTGTGTAGGAAAGAAACTGCAATCGATTCTAAACTTTTTTTTCATAGTTTTTTCCTTGAGGAGCTACTTTGATTCTGTTATTACAAAATCATTGCATTGTGTGGTTGGTTTCCTTCTGGTTTTTAATTTTCAGAAATCAGCTTGCAATTCCATTGTTGTTTCAGTTTGTTGAGTCTGCATCTAGTTGTGACTGAAATGCCGTAGTTTAAAGCAAGGTGAAAACTCCATGCAAATATGATGTGAAAGGTGAAAACTCCAAATATGATGTAAATGAGAGAAGGACTCATGTCCTGTGATTAGAATATGCCAAACATCCAGACCCATGAAGTCAGGCTGCTCCTGGTTTTGTATCACTGCCGTTCTTCATAGCATTGACCATAAATTTTTTGTGTTTTTTAAAATCTGACCCCTGCATGAAACAGTTAATTTCCTGGGGAAGTGAGTTGCAAAGTTGACTCTGTTATTTTGTGGAAGAATGCTTCACTTTTAATATTTTTTTTCTTTCTTAGTAATAGTCTTTATGCTAGTAAGGTATGGGATGAAGCAGAGCACTAATACAGTCT